TATGTTTCGGTCTTTGCAACCTTTTGCAAACTTTAAGGAACCCTGACTAAAAAACAACATTTGCTTACATTTGCAAACACTCCCAAGTATTCGCTGCTCAGTAGATACCAAGCGTCTGACTTTATGTTGTGTTTCTGTTATTGTTGAGTTTCCTTGGCTTATCTGTACAGAAACTATGACATACAGAGGAACCCTGCAGACTTGCGTTTCTGCACTAGTGGATTAACATATTTGCAGATATTTTCCAATTTAGTTTAAATAATATTAATTACTTTATTTTTTTGACCCCCACTGACCCTCTGTTTTTACTTGTGGGCCACACCGGTCCCTTCCCCCCAACGAATAGCAGGGGTCCACTGTACTGTATAGCACTTATATTATTCAGTATTATTTGTTGTTCTTTAATATATTATTGTAGCCATAGTAGCGGTCGTAGTAGATTCATCACCCAGTACAAAGCAAAAATATATTGCAATATATTAGAAATTCCCGTACATCTCAATAAATGAGAATATTGGTCATATATTTGAAAACATGCAGTATAGCAAAATGGGGAAGGGTGGTCTATTGCTACATATTGATTAATATACAGTATATTAAAATATGAATTGCTGTCCAAACAAATATTGCAGTACATTATTGCGTGCTGAAATAATGTACAAAACACATACATAGACAGATGTACAGATTGCTATATTGAATAATTATATTGAGATAAAATTCAAAACTTTTTTTCTTGGCGATAAATACAGAAGACAAAAAGAAAATCAATTTCAATTTTTTCGCAGCGAATGAAGAAGAATGTAATGTAATCTATTGCACTTGAGATCTTGCTCCTCCTCTTTTCACCCCAGTTCTTCTCACTTTTCAACGTTTTTGTCTGCTTCTTCCATTTTACATCCTACCCCCCCCAAAAAATGTGCATGCTTTTATTTGAAATAAGATTGCGTGTTCATACCATCATCTTTTTAATTACTTCTACTACTTTATTAAAGTATGAAAGTGAATTAACTATTCTAAACCTGAGAAACAAGGGCAGGAGTTGACATTTTTCAAATCAAGGGGAACCAAATTTTTTGGGCTGTGTCTGTATGAAATCCAACTGTGTGCAAACAGAGGCGTTTTCTCATTTTAATCCATGCTACCATGTTCCCGTTGCGTAAAATGTCGAACATGAGTTATTAGTGTAGCAAACTAGAGACATTTAACAGAGCAGGCAAATAGGGAAGAGGAGGCGCCGTCCCCCTGACCCATATAACAGTACATTAAACACACTGAATAATTCCTCACGTTGTGCCTCTCACTTCCTTAGAGACAAACACATGCACACATACACACACAATTGGTGTCTGACATTCAGGCCCCAGAATGTGAACAGCTTTGACCTTTGGCAGTGACATTTGGAAAAAAATGGACCATTCTCACAGGAATACTCTAATAGTTAGTTTCATCCTCTGGACAATGTTGCTGTGTGAGCTGCCAACAAGGGAGAACTGTAAAGTATGCCATCATAGGTCATGCGCACAAGTAAGCACATGCACATTAAGATTCAAAACGTTTGTGGTGAATGGGTATCAAGAGGGTTGTAGTTGTTGGGTTTGACAGCATGTTTTTAGGTTCAGCCAACAAATAGTACGCGGGCACATTAGGAAAGGTAAAAGTTGTTGCTTACAGTGGAAAGATGAAGCAAATAATGGGACGCTGGCCAAGCTCGATTCAATTGAAATTTTCTCATGGTAAATTGTTCAACCTAAATTCAAATAATCACATCCACACTCAAACTATTGCCATCAGAAAAGAAATTCAAGATAACTTTCCCTGTATGCAGAGAATGCAGGGAAAATATTGCAGCAAAAGGAGCCACCGCTTCAAATCTTCATTCATCTCTGTGATCCGATTGCTTTTGCATTTCAAATGAGATGATGTTGTTTTCATTTTTTAAAACCCTTCTCAGTTGTCTTAATAACGCATCTGTGACATTTGTCCAAATATACAGAGGATTTCATCCATCCTTCCATTTTCTCATCCTCACAAGGTTCGCTGGTGTGCTGAAGCCAATTCCAGCTGTCTTCAGGCAGTAGGCTGGGTACACCCTGAACTGGTTGCTGCCAATCGCAGGGCACATTCACAGATTTAAATGCAAATAAAACAAACATAACAAAGAAGTGATGAAGTATGGGTTACGTATCACAAACTATAGCTATGTTACGCTAATCTGTGTATCAAAACTAAACCAAATGCTGCTCTGCTTAACTTGCGATTTTGTCATGAAACAGTAGTAGCAAGTGGCAGATCTCAGCTAGGTGCCAAGTCGTGGTTGGAGAAACACATTTATGATGTAAATGTAAGTGTTGGGCAAAAACAGCTTGCTCACAGGCACATTTTCAGAAGACGAGGTCGGTAGAAAAGACTTACTTGGTTGATTAATTGCGCACATGATGAGGCACGTCAGAGAACAAACAACAGTATTTGAATGCTAGCAATTAGAGGCGAGAGATTTTCAATAAATGTCCCATTTAAGTAACATTTTGTGCAGTCTTGCACACGTGATAATTACTAGTCATTCTGGTTGTTGCTGTGTCTTACCTGGAAAAAGTACTTGGACAGTTGTTTTGTGTGTGTGTGTGTGTGTGTGTGTGTGTGTGTGTGTGTGTGTGTGTGTGTGTGTGTGTGTGTGTGTGTGTGTGTGTTCAAATGCCAGTGATCGGCATGCTATAGGTTCATGTGGCTGTAATTTCTTCAAGCAATACTGACATAATACTCAGAACTGCAAAAATGTTGGTCACTATAATCATAATGAGGGATTTTATACCGTTTTATGAAGACATTTTAAAATCCTTAAATGTCCTACAAAAGAATGAACAACAGGAATAAGGCAAGTGGAGAACTTAAGATGCGTATGAATCGCACTTTTGAACAATTTAGCTCACGGGTACTGAAATCGGTTGAATGTGGTCAAACGGCACCTTGTGAATGCAGCGACATTTAACTTTGCTGACGCGGGGCAAGCAGTGACATGTGACACACGGGCAAACGTGGCCAACGTAATGCTCTTGATATTCAATAAACAGCTGACTTTGCTCAGTAAAAAACATACCTTTAGCCGGCTGATTCGAAAATGCACGTCGTAGTTGTGCATTGTGTACAACCTAAGAATGAGCCCTGTGGTAATCATCATCTGAGGAAGCCATTCAGGGAACAAATGACAAAGTGACACATTTTGAATTATCCAATAGCAATATATGTCACATTTTAGTGACTTCAGCACAATTTTAACAGTGCAGAGGAAATTCTCAGCTCGGCCACACGAGACTGACTCATTTAGAATGCCGCTATCCATTTGGCCGTCACTGAGGCAAAACCAGAGTGCTATCAGGCGGATTTAACGCTCCGCTCCCAAGTATCCCTTATTCCCCTTCATGGCTGTTATCTCTTCAACACATTTCCTTTCGTGTTCTTTTAAATCGATTTTGAAGACTGATACGTTTCACGAAAGGAAACACAGTATATGGCATCCTCAGCATTTGGCATTCAGCTTAAACTGTGTCGTGCTACTGTTTGTTTGCGGCCAAGAACATGTTGTTACATGAATATGGTGTTGCATTTGGTTAATTGGGAGGATGACACACTGGACTGCTTTTTCACATGCAGGGCATCCTGTACTCAGCAGCTAACTGTTAAATCAGAGCCCCCTTTGGACTCATTAGCAGAGACTTTGAGTACATCGCCTCCTCCATGGCCAAGCAACTTGGCTTAAAGTGTGTATTTTTCTGCATCTGCCATTACGCCGACTGCTGGGATAGGCTCTACCCTCATGAGGACAAGCGTGAAAGAAAATGGAAGGAAGGATGGATAGTGTTGTACTTCGAGTTTTAAAGTGTAAGAATAGAGGAAAGGAGAAGCAAAATTGTTTTGACGCCTAAGCTAATACATTCAAGACAGGGTCTCAAGTCTCAAGACAGGGAATATATTTGGTTGATTACACTGAATAACACTGAATTACATTTGAAAATATTACACTTCAATGTGTGAATATGACAAGACTTGATTAAAGATGGATAACATGATTCTCCGTCACTCGCTCTAATTAAAGATAATTTTCATGTGAGCAATAAGTCAAGTGGTTAGCATCAGCATCATCGTTTTTAGGTTTGGGGTTTAACTCTGTTCTGGATTTGATGTCTGGAGTTTGCATGAGACTTTTCGCTTGACTCGAAATTGGTGATAGGCTGTACTGACATCATTTGCCCAAACTATCAATAACATAATTGATTGGCTCCGCCAAATAAGCCATGATAGCAAACACAACCTTGTTCACTCCAGGCTCATTCTGTACTAGCATTGTGCACATGAGTCCGAAGAGCTAATGTACTATTTTTGGCCTCTGGTGTCGTGGGAATGAAAAGCATTGGCAAGCGGAAGTTGCACCTCCGTGCCCTTGACCATTCAATCATAAAGTAAAAGCATGTGTATAGTTTTTCTTTGAGACTGGTGAAAAATCCCAGAAACATTTTATCTGCGTCCAAAAAAACCCAAAACACTATTTTTCAAAACTAACTAGCTACAGTTATGTGTGTTATTTATTTTGATCACATAAAGTCTAGTTTGCATGTTACCCCTGTGCTTGTAGGCTACTGTGGCTCCCACCCACATTCGCAAAACCAGCAAGTTAGGCTTATTGAAGGCTTTCATTTTTAGGGTTATATAATGCATTTTATGCTACACACATAACTGGTGAAGAGTCCAGGGGCTAGGTTTCCTCTTGCCAAAGGTCAGCTGGCATAGGCTCCAGTTTCCTACTGACTCTGAACAAGATAAGCAGTACAGAAAAAGGATGAATGGATAAAAACTGTGCAGCCTACCGAAATGTATCCTCTCTCCATCGATCAAGCTGCTTTCTGGACCGTTTATTCTAATCGGGGTTGTAGGTGAGCTAGACACTCTCCCAGCTGACAGTGAAAAGAAAAGACCACAAGCAATTGGATACAAGTGAGACTCACCGCCGCTTCATCCTCCCTACTGTCGCTGGTGTCCTCACTCTTGTGGTGGCTAGTTGAAGAGCGAGTGTCCCTCTTGCGGCTGGTGTCCGAGCCCTCGGTCTGTCTCTCCCCATCTAGACAAAAAACCATGGGCACTGCTCAAAAAGCTGGCAAGCATGGCTACTGTCATCTTCAGCTCCCTTTTAATCATCTTAGCGTAATGATGATCATAATGAAGATAAAGTGTAATCCTGATTCTTGTCTTCATTAGAATCATTTTTTATGGTCAATAATACTTTCAAGCAATTGCGGTTTTTTTCTACTTGGTGCCTACGCACTCTAATCAAGGCCATACAAATTCAAGGAGTAAACATTAGTACAGTACACTTCTCTCATCTAAAAATGGTGACAACATTTTTGCATACTAGTGTGTCACTGTCATCTTTCTGAACAGCCAGAAAAGTATCTACTGTAGTTGCATTGTTGCGGATGATGGAATCAGAGCAAAAACTGCAAAAGTTAGAGCAAGTCAACGCAGCACAGTAATACAGCTCAACACTTGTGTGTCTGTGTGTTTGGAGCAAAAAATAAATAAATAAAAAAAATCAATCAATCATGAAACAGTGGGCACACATAAGAGTTTGTGTACGATCATACAACAAAGACATCCATACCCTCTTCCCTCTCATCTTTGTATTTGAATTGCTCTCTATTTGATCCCACTTGGTTGACAGTGCTGTTGCTGTTCAGATGGGGCGCAATAAAATGTGGTGCCTTCAAAGCAGGCATGGGTTGAGGGTGGGTGTGTGTGTGGGGCTCTCTGGCATGGGGCATGCATTACACAGAGTGGTTCATTGCCTACTGGAGCAGAGAAGGCTCCATTTAGCGAGACACAATTGAATATAGTACACTTATACATGCTTGCATACACAGACACAGACCAGGGAACAGAGTGTGATTAAAAGACAAAGTGGGGAGAGAGGGTAGCTATAAAGCATAATGAGAGCTAAAAGTTTTCCAATATGCCCCCTTAACAAAGGGTCTGAATAGACTGAATTGGAGGAAGTCGTGTGTATATGTCAAAGATTCAAAATAGAACCAAAGTGACACTTGATAAAGCGCAGACTCCCACCAAAGTGGCATAATCCAGTTTGCTTCAGCACCAAATCTGTTGACAACAGATTTGACCATTGTATCAAAATAAAAAGTGAGAAAAGATGTAGAACAGGAAAAGTTGGATTTGTGGAAGCATTGAATTCTATTCCGCAATTTTCTCACACCAGTCACTGATGGCGTCCCTGTGTGAATGTGTGTGTGAAAAGTTTTTTATCCCTGTACGTGCCCTGGGACTGACTCGAGACGAGTCCAGGTTGGACTCTGCCTTCTGCTCAAAGTCAGCTGGAACAGGCGCCAGCCCTCCACAACTCTGAACTGAATAAGTGGTATAGAAAATGGATGGATGTTGATTTTTTTGCTTTGAAACATGAAAACTCTATTAAAAATCGGAATAAATCAAAATGTAAAACTTCTTGGAATGGACTTCGTTCAGCTTCCGAAGGAACGATCTTTGATTCTGCCCCCCTGCCTTTCTTTTAAAAATACCCATATTGTACACTGAGAAATTGAGGAGGGGACTTGTAAAACATTCCGGACCCTCAGTTTTACATGGATCAGCCTCAAAATTTAACTCATTCTTCCATGGGTCTGCTCTTTCACAAGGACAAAAGCATAAATTAATGTATTTTGGGGTCTTTTTTTTTGGGGGGGGGGAGTTTGATAACAAACATTTTGTTGAAAAAAATTACCTCCTACGTCAGAGGAACAGTAATGAAATGTGAACATCCCTACAAAGGCTCCGGCGTGCATGGCTCCTTTTACAATAGACACCGTCATTCCCGACGAGCACTCTTTGCAATTTCACTGATTCAAGAAAAGTATGATAAAAACTATTACTTGATCTGAAACATGTGACTAACTTCCTGAATAAATGGAATGGCGGAGGAAATTGCCATGCTCAGGTTGCCTTCTCTTCCAAACTGCTCATTCTCTCCAATTGTGTGACGATATATTGTGTTCTGACTCTCACTCACCCTGGAAAAAAAGAAAAATGAAGCTTTCAAAGAAAAGTAATACCAGGAAATGAAAGTCATGGCAGCTTTCAGTGACAGCAACTTTCAATCGAGCTCAAGCCACAGGAGCCGTGCTCTTAAAGTTGCAAGTTTTTTAGTCCAACCGGTCACGGTTTGTCTAAGTGTAGCATCCAGCCTCCTTCAAAGCTCAATCAGATCAAAGGGAGGCTCTCTCTGACTTTATCTCATACCTGGTCCCATTCTTCATCTATTGTTGAACAAAAATCTAAAAGCAGCAGGACGCTTCCAACTTCTAAGTTTGTTCCTCCATCAAAACCTTTTTTTAATCTGAATTTCAAAAACCTGCAAACAAAGCAGTTGACAAGGGGATAGAAGGGGGGGAATAAGAAGGCTCATGACAGGAGCTACGCTTGTGTTAACAGCCAATTTGGCGACTAATGATAGAGGCCCTTGTTGCTGGGCAGGTTTTAGATGGGATGTTTAAGGATAGTTTTGTAAATGTAATCTATTTTTGTAAATACTGTATGATCCTTTTTGTAAAAAGATAAGTATAAGGGCGGGTGGCCCGGTGGTCGACTGGTTAGTGCGTCGGCCTCACAGTGCAGAGGTGCAGGGTTCGATTCTGGCTCTGGCCTCCCTGTGTGGAGTTTGCATGTTCTCCCCGTGCCTGCGTGGATTTTCTCTGGGTCCTCCAGTTTCATATTCCAAAAATATGCATGGCAGGTTGTACCTTTTTTTCAAGGGACCAAGTCACCAATGGTATATCTGGTTGGGGAGCAACCAGACTGCGAGCAAGCAAAAACGAAAGCATATACAGTATTATAAAGGGCACGGAAAGTATATTGAAGATATATTAAAATAATACAATATCTCTCTGTGTTTGTACAAATGTTATGTCATCGAGCATTGCAGCAGCTGTGCCCTGTGATGCATAACCACATTTATTTCGATTTTAGGGTGTGATTTATCTCTACAAGGCTGTGCTATTAAACAAGCCCGTCTCAAATGAATCCAAGAGTATGAAGATGAATAAAGGTAAGCCTTTTTTTTTTTTTTTGCCACCCACTGAAGTTCATGCAACCTGAAAGTGCTGAGTTGTTCACAAGGCATTTCCATTCACAGGCCATTTCTGAGCTGCAGCGTGCAGGCGGGCGCCAGAGGTGGTGAACTTCAGTGAGTGCGGAGGAGTCTGTACCAACTGCTGGACTGTGACGGGACTTCCTCAAACCTCCATGCTACCTCTAATGAAGTAATGAATAGCTGACTGGCAGGTTAATAGAAGCCAATCGACTACGAGTTGTGCCAGCAGCAGGAGGCCATGTGGAATACTGATCACTTAGCAGCTTCCTCTCTATTGTTCTGCCTAATTTGTTTGTGTCCCACAGCCCAAAAGCAGCAGCAGCAGCAGCATCAATGATGTTGCCTCCAGCCAGAGGGTGGAATAGAGATGTTTCGTTTTATATGTTGAATAACCGTGAACATTTTGCCTCGATCTTCATCAAGTGATGAAAATGTCAATTTAGCATTGTAAATGCTAAAATTGTAAAAGCTTTTAGCTTTTTGTGCATTTTTTTGTGGAAAACAACAAATATGGAGTGCACTTTTTGTTTTATCAAAACTTACAAAACCGTGGTTTCATGCTGAGGTTTATTTGCCCAAGTCATTAAATTTTAATGATAGAACTACTCTGAGCAACACTGTTTATCGATCTGGTACTTTTACTGTATTTTTTACGGTACGTTTTTTGTTTAGAAAAACAAAAATATTTGAACTAACACTGCTTTTCAAAAAATATATACATTTTATTAAATCTTCCAACTACAATGACAGTAATGTAAATAAATCAACTGTTTCCCTAATAGTATAATAAAGTTTAGATCTCTCTAGTCCCCAAGCATTACAGAGTCTAGATCTAATTTTTGACATCAATCCATTTCCTTCAATATTTTTCTCTCTCCAAAAAGAGCACACAATATAACAATGCCAAATCAAGTGTGACAAGGACTCTGACTGAAAAAAATCAAAAGTGATATTCATCAGAATTAACCAAACTCCAAATATTTAACATTTTACTAGAAGCGACTTCAATGTGAAAATATACGTTTTGTCCATCTAGAGTGGTATTATAAATGCACATCAATATCTTGTTCTGTGGTCAAGGGCTATCAAACATCTCATTTCCTGCAAGCATTGGACAATGCTATCCTAAGTAATTTATGCTAAATCAAAGTTGGATTTAACTATTTTGACTCTCTTTCTGGTGGATGGCTGAACCAAAAGTTTAGTTGTGCCTTGATTAATTTTGCCTTTCAAATTTCTTCTCGCGGCCCGGTAGTCGAGTGGTTAGCACGTCGACTTCACAGTGCAGAGGTACCGGGTTCAATTCCAGCTCCGGACTTCCTGTGTGGAGTTTGCATGTTCTCCCCGTGCTTGCGTGGGTTTTCACCGGGTCCTCCGGTTTCCTCCCACATTCCAAAAACATGCATGGAAGGCTGATTGAACACTCCAAATTGTCCCTCGGTGTGAGTGTGAGCGTGGATGGTTGTTCGTTTCTGTGTGCCCTGCGATTGGCTGGCAACC